TAGTCATTGTATCTTTATTCTATTCAATTTAGTCCACTAGTTTAAAAAGTGGTGAAATTAAAGACAATAGTTAACGGTGTAAATATTTCCGAGGACTTAGGTTACGTGGCGTTGACGATATTTATATTCCTACTCATATATTACTTTATAAATATTTAAAATTAATTATTTTTACCACCAATATTTAAATTAGTATGTCCAAAATAAATAATTACAATCATGTTCCTAATAAGATTTGGACAATTGTCCTTAATTTCACCACTTTATAAAGTAGAGAGACTAAATTGAACAGAATAAATGTACAAGGACTAAATTGAACAAAACATAATAGTACAGAGACCTCGTATATAATTTACCAATTCTTCGTGGAGCACAATTACATAATTGTTTGGTTGAAAATAATATTCCCTCTATTTGTGGAATTGAAATTCATAGGGCTCCCCTATGAATTTCAATTTGCACGGTGGTGGATGGAAAGGAGAAAAAAAAAAGATGATGAAATTACATCATTACTCTTGATTTTATTATTATTATTATTATTATTATTATTATTATTATTATTATTAAAGCATTTTAGTCATTTTAATTTTCTTTCAATTTTTAAAAATTATATTCATGCCTACCAAATAATTTAATTTATATTCTTATTTTATTTTCACCTTTTTTTTTTCTACAAAATTACAATTCATTTTTCCCTAATTTCTTACTTCTAACTAAACACCCTATAAAGGTTCTAGATTTATTTTCCACTGTGTACGTTTGACTTGCTGAACTATGAATTTACGTTATGCAGCACGGCAGTAGATAGGTTGTATAACGTGAAAGCATCAAACACGTGGGCAGAAATTATTATTATAAGAATAATAAGAAAATTTACCATGTCAAACCTTAAAATATTATATTCACCTGTCAAACCTTAAAATATTATATTCACCAATGCAACTCAACTACTCAAGTTAATTAGGTACCACAAGGTTATAAATTCTTCATGAATAATTACTTAGACTAGTATATCTCGTTATGATTCTTTATCAACTAAAATTACAAAGTGAAATTTACCTAGTGCATACTATCGGATAATAGTTGAAATTTTTTTTCATCACTAAAAAATATTGTATTCACAGAATGTAAAGTAGTGTATGTATATTTGTAATTTTTTTTTTTTTTTTTTTGAGTACGTATGTATATTTGTATATAATTATTTATAAATTGTGTATGCGGTTTAAACATGTATTGTGTTTTACTTTTAAAATATGAACCTTTTTTTTTATTATTATTTTTACGTTCGTATACCATTATAGTGCAGTATTTTTCAAAAAATAATAATGCAATAATTTTATTTGTATTTTTTAGTGTCGGCCGTCCAACAAACATACACGCAGAAACGTGCATGGAAGGATCCAATTAACAATTATCTAAGGTGGATCACGGATTATAGAGTTAATAATAATGAAAATATTATTATTTCATTAATAAATATTATTAGTACATTAATTAAAATAACATCTTTTGTAGTTTGTTCAATGGACAGACCACGTGCTCGGAATGTCTTTTGAAGCTCACCACATATTTCAAAGTTGAACAGATTATGACACGTACACCAGCCTCTTTACCTATTTAATTGTTTTGAGCAATAGAAATACAATTTATACACACAATTATTAATAACAAATTGTATAGTTATTAGAAATAAAATGTACACAATATCATATTTCAAGCCATCTGGATTTTAAAACAAATTAAAACAAAAAAATTCAACTCAGTTTGCAAATGCCCCAAATTTATGGGATAAAATTAGCCTTACTTGTCCCCAACCCAATGTGAGATACACAAAAATTTATATCATGGACCAAGTTAAACAGTATTATGGACTATAAACGGAAACAACGAGATACACAATTTAAATTTTTAAAGTATAAAATTTCATAACACAAGACAGATATACATGTGTATATTTATTTATTTTTTAAATCTGATTAATTTAGATACATAATTTGTGTTCATAGACACAGAATTTCACAGCACAAGACACAGAAATTTATAACATATCACTACTACAGGAATGATATACTACGTCGCTTAATAGAAGGCGGTTTTTTAAATAACCGCCTTCTATTATGTTTTGTTATACTACGACACATAAAAGACGTCGGTTTTCTAAATAACCGCCTTCTATTATATACTACGGCACATAATAGACGGCGGTCTTTAAATAACCGCATTCTATTATATACTACGACACTTAATAGACGGCGGTCTTTAAATAACCGCCGTCTATTATATACGGCGTCACTTAATAGATGACAGTTGTTAAATAATCGCCTTCTAATATATATTTACGTCACTTAATAGACGGCGGTTTTAAATAACCGCCTTCTAATATATATTTACGCCACATAATAGACGGCGGTTTTAAATAACCGCCGTCTAATATATATTTACGTCAATTAATAGACGGCGGTTCTTAAATAACCGCCGTCTAATATATATTTACGTCACTTAATAGACGGTGGTTGTAAATAATCGCCTTCTAATATATATTTACGTCACTTAATAGACGGTGGTTTTAAATAACCGCCTTCTAATATATATTTACGCCACTTAATAGACGGCGGTTTTAAATAATCGCCTCCTAATATATATTTACGTCAATTAATAGACGGCGGTTCTTAAATAACCGCCGTCTAATTTATATTTACGTCACTTAATAGACGGCGGTTGTAAATAACCGCCTTCTAATATATATTTACGTCACTTAATAGACGGCAGTTTTAAATAACCGCCTTCTAATATATATTTACGTCAATTAATAGACTGCGGTTCTTAAATAACCGCCTTCTAATATATATTTACGTCACTTAATAGACGGCGGTCGCCGTGTAAAGGTGTGATACTCCATATTTTTTTGGGCATTGTACGAGGACCGTATGTGCATACGACTAATTTTATTAAATTTTCCTAAATCAATATTATTCATTAAGCTTAATAGTTTCTTAATCCAAGAAAACCTAGTATTTTCTAATTATATACATGTTCACATATATTATGTTCCTACATAGCATAATTAACCATTTCCCTTATGGTTTGATGGTATCTGGTATGGACCTTCAAAAAGGTAGGCCCGGGGTCGATTCCCATCCCAAGCATGGGTTGGAATATTGTTTATAAATATGATCCTCCCTGAGCCCCACTGAACCCTGAGCTGCGCTGCGCGGAACCCGCTGTGATCTGGTGGGTGACACATAAATGAGATGAACCAAGCGACCCCAGGAGCCATCGAATATATAATGTAATTTTATTTTATTTTCTTTTAAGGTGAAAAATATATGTATAGACGGCGGTTCCTCAAGACAACCGCCGTCTATACATATATATAGACGGCGGTTCCTCAAGACAACCGCCGTCTATACATATGTATAGACGGCGGTTCTTACATTGAACCGCCGTCTACTCATATGTATTGACGGCGGTTCTTACATTGAACCGCCGTCTATTCATATGTATAGACAGCGGTTCAATGCCGTCTACTCATATGTATTGACGGCGGTTCTTACATTGAACCGCCGTCTATTCATATGTATAGACGGCGGTTCTTATATTGAACCACTGTCTATACATATGAATAGACGGTGGTTCCTCAAGAAAAGCGCCGTCTATACATATAATTATTGAGATTACACGACATACATCGTGAGATTAGACGTCGGTTAGCAACTGCCGTGTTTTAGAAGTATACACGGCGGTTCAAATAACCGCCGTAGAAAGTTTTTATTTACAAAGGCGGTCACTTACACAGCACTTCAAGAACCGCTGTGTATTTATAAAAATAACCGCCGTGGTAAGTGTGTTTTGTAGTAGTGTTATGACACAATTACTAATTTGTTTTAGGTACGTAATTCATACTCTTAAGTTACATAATTCATACAAAAGCTCACAACATAAGACACACACACACACACACACACACACACACACACACACACACACACACATATATATATATATATATATATATATTAGGATCCACGGTAAATAACCCTGGTCAATGATATAAAAATGGGAAATACACGTAAAATTAGAGAAACCTTTTTAGGTTATATATACTAAATTATACACTCCGTAACAATTAATATTGCCAAGATTCTAATCAAAATTTAAAATATGTCAGTATAATCATGTACATTGATAACTTGTAGTTTTGTACATTTTGATTTCTTTCTTGTTAATGATAAAATGTTTTCAAAATTACACTATTTCCTTTTTAGTAACATAATATTCTTTAACTTATTATTATTCTTAATTTGACTTATTATAAAATATTTGTTCAACATTTTAATAATAATATAATAGTAATAATGGCCATTTGATTTTTATATTATTACTATATAACATTTAAATTAATATACACTAAAGGAACTCGTAACATTTAAAAAAAAATTATTTTCTAATCTTTTTATGACTATTTTCTTCTTTGTGGTAAGAATTAAATATAATAATAGCGAGATAATTAGTTACTGTGTCCGATGGTGGAAGCTCTGGGTGTATTGCAATAAGTCAGTCTAGTAGCCTTTAAGAGGTAGGCTTTCTTATCCGTTCATCCCATCAAACGATTAGCTTAGATTGCACAATAAGCATGTCAAAAATTAGATTGGATTGGGATGATTTCCCCGAACGTGAAGCATGAGAATAACAACACACATAAAACCAAAGTCGGTTGCGTCCCACACGGTGTAATGTCATGTCATATTGTCATGTACGCTAACGCATAACGTTTGACTCATCCCCCGCCTAATTTCACACGCACTACACCATAATATTGGACCGACGAACCATCCTCGAAACTCGAAACCGAACACACCCCCACGTTGTACTCCTCCCACTCTGTCGCTATAAATCTTCTGTTTCTCATCTTCTGCCAAACACCCACACGTTTGAACCCAAAACTTTCTAAAACAACCAAAAAAGTTTCACTTTAATTAGGAATCGGAAAGAAGAAGAAAATGGCGTGGTCTGAAGCGGAAGCGTTGTGCAAGAGCCACCCGGAGCACAAGCAGCCGGCGGGGGTCTGTTCGTGTTGCCTTCGAGAACGCCTCTCCAAGATCTCCGGCGCCGTTATGGATTCCTCCACCATGTCGTCTCCGGCCGCCGCCGCCGCGCCCTACAACTACTCCTCCGCCTCCTCTTCTTGTTCTTCCGGCTGCGTTTCCCCTCGCGGCCACCGCCGGATAACCTCCGACGTGGCCGGCCGGTTCTCGTTTATTACCGTCGGCGGAGGTGACGGCGGGTTGAAGAAGAGCAGATCCATCGCTTTCGCTGCGAGACGGCCGGCAAGAGTGCTCGCCGGCGGGAAGAAGAAAGAAGGGTTCTGGTCAAAGCTGATTAAATCCACGGGTAGAAGGACCAAGAAGGCAATCTAGTCAAGATAGATTGAAATCTGTGTATGAATTTGGTGAAAATTAACGTTTGCTCCTTGTTATTAGGGATCAAATAATTAATATGAAAAAACACGCACAAACTTACAATCAAGTTTTTTTCACTTATTATTATTCCATCTTTTCATATTTATCTCAATTTTAGCTATTTTATATTTCGTAAACATTAACCCGCCCTGCAGAAATCATTTTTATTTCCACAATATAAGACAAAATCAATTAGTAAAATCTTAACTCGCATAGTTATATTTTCTTGATGGACATTAAATTCTTACGCAATAAATATTTATTTAATTCAAAGTAAATGACATGTATATTTATGAACATTTATTAGTTTGAAATTGTAATATCAGTTATAATATTATATTAGCCATATATATATTCGAGTATTATTAACTCTATTATGTTCTATGCTCTCATTGTAGCTGTCAAATTTTGAATTTTAATTTTTTCTCTTAAATACTGTCATCTGAATCAGTGTCTTAAAATCGTGCAATTTTTTTTTCTCTCTTAATGAGAATATATGAAGTTGAGGAGTCGTTGTGGACCCGGTGGTGGTGAGTGGTGACCAGAGAACATTCAAAGTATACGAATCTATAGAATTGATTACATAATCTTCGCCTCCTTTGGTGCCGCAATCGATAGGAATTGTCCAGGCAATTTAACTCATTTTAGCAAAGACTCTTTCTTTGCGTGGGTTGAACGATAGCGGTCAACCAAAGGCATTTCATATTCAAGTTTGAATTTTTGATAACTTTAGGTGATATTAGTTGAATTACCATTTCAATTACACATTTATATTTGTATTATTCTTCCAAAAGCTGAACCCCAACCCTAAGGGCCCCCCACACCCCGACCCGACAGAGTATTTGAGAGGATTTATATTTGTATTATTAATAGACTTCTATGATGACTAAGATCACATATTGGTTTATACCCTATAGTTCAAATATAATTTCTTTTTCGGTATCATACTTTAATTTAGAAAATCTACAGTCATTACCTGAAGGTTCAAGCTACTTAGAACCACGGAAAAATTCAGAACCATTACCTGAAAATTGTGACTACTTAAAACCTTGTCATTCAAGCTAACAACCTGACTAGCTGAATTAGAGTTGCCCTATTTACAATATTAAAGCCTCTTTTACTTGAATAGTGACGTGATTAGTGATGACAAAGACAATAAGTTCTATAGATTACAAAAATTGCATGTTGTATTAGGCTTATGTGTATTTACATTAGGTATATGTCACTTGCAGAATTGCATCGCAAAAGAAATTAAAGCACACACTACAGCTCTCTGATGTGCTGACTATCTGTATTAATCTCATCAGTCATTGTCTTCCATCAACCAGATTGAGTCGTCTTATCCGTTTTACACCTTGTTTTAGTACAAAATTTTAAATTTTGAAAAATTTCATCGATCAACAACAATATTGAGCTTGTCTCATAGAAACATAAAATGCAGGCTAAGAAGAGACTAAATGAAGATATCAACGAGTTAATTCTTAATTGAGATAAAATACAGTTAACTTGTAGTGTTTTATTCTTTTCTTAGAGATGTAAAATAATTACATTAGATTTTGACTAATTTATACTTCTCCTATCTCAGTTTATATGTTTTAATTTGTTTACTATTTATAATTTTTTTTTTCGGTGAGGAAAGAGAAGCGGCGCCTCAGGTTAAGAGATTCCACGAGATCTGGCCCCTCCCGCGTCACGAACCAGTAGAGGGATGAGACTTTCCATCGCTTCTGTGAACACCCAAGTACCCTAATTATTAGCTTGTGCGAGATTAGCCAAGAAGTCTGCGCAACTTGTTACTATTTATTAATCAATCAATCAATTAAATTAAACAAACTCTTCAATTCTTTCTTATTTATTCTCTTTAGCATTTTATAATAATTTTTAAATATATAAATTTTATATACTAACATTATATTAAATAAAATATTTTAAAAAAGTAATTATAATTTATTTAAGCCTAACTACGTTAACGCAATATATTATATAAAATGGGATGAAAATAGATCAATTTATTATCCAATGTCATATGAGATAATTGTTGGTTGTGAATAAGTCGATTTACCATATATATATATATATATATATATATATATATATATATATATCATATGAAAAATAGAATTTAATTTATAGAAAATTAATTCCAAACAAAGTTTGGTACGAATCTAATTAAAATTTATTTATATAAAATAAGTAAATATAAAAATAAGGGTTTTATAATTTGAGTACAAACCTAACGAGAAGAAAGAACAATGAAAGATCCCTGTTATGTGTAACACCTTCCGAGAGTGCTAGGAGTGTCTCTCATGATAAAATGAATAACAACTTTAATATGGCGTTTGGTTGGAAGGAAGGAATTAGGGGGAAATGAATTGTAATTCAGTTGTAAAAGAATAATGTGGGAATAAAGTAGAAATTCAAATTACGTTGTTTGGTAGGGAGAAATAGAATTATTGGAATTGAGAAGAAAAGAAGTGGTATAAAGATTAAAATACTCTTGTGTAATAATAATAGTAAATAACCAGGGGTAGTAGTGTCATTTCATTTATTTTTCCTTTCTCGCATCCATTGAATTGTAATTCATAGGGGTACCCCATGAATTGCAATTCAACAAAATGAGGGAATTGCAATTCCCTCCAACCAAACAATGTAATTTAAGCATCTGTTGAATTTCAATTTCAATTCAACTACAGCTAAATTACAGTGAACCAAACGACGCCAGGTAAGTTTGAGTACAGTGAACCAAACGCCCTGTAAGTTTGGGTAAGTTTGAGTACTCAAACAATAACAGGCGAGCAACAGAAAAAACAAACATAATTTTATGATGCATGAAAGAGGCTAGAACCTTTATACTATACAATTCAACTTTTTTTTTTTTTTTAAAGGCTCTTGTATGTATATTAGTGCAAATCCACTTACCAAACCAATGTGAGACAAGTGTTTTTACAAAGTCTTTTCACCTCTATTTTCTAACTCAAATGAACTTATGTTGAGAATCAATTTCTCATTCATACATTATCCGTTTTGAGCGTATAATATATCGATTTCTTCGTCTTACTACAAAGAGTGCAAATCCACATCAACCCGACCAAAATCAAAAGTGAACTACACATATATTTGAACCCCAAAATTCCAACAATAACTTATTTCATTAGTAAAGTTTAAACACGAGATTTAATTAAAAGATAATGTGACGTTTAAGTTTAGAAACATTCCATTTGCATGATGCAACAACTAATAAAGCTAGTTGTTAATTAACAAACATCCCATTGCCCATGAAATTAAACAGCAGAAATTGCGGTTGCATGGAGCTATAAATATTGGTTATTTATATGTCAAATAATTTAAGCACCAAACAATTAAGAGGAAAATTATTATATATATAAATAAGCAATTAAGCATGATGTACTCGGTGAGAAGCATGATGGATGATGCAATAACTATATTCCAATACACAAAATGGGTAGCATTTTGGGTAGAGTATTGGGCTATATTTCTGGGTGTGATTTTGAGTGAAGTTTGGGTTTTGTTGAAGAAGATGATAGGCAGTGCAACAAGGATTGATGTACTCTGGCCTGTTAACATTTGCAGAAGATTATGGAGGAGATTACAGTGGGCCATTCTTGTGTGGGAGATGGAAGCCATTGATCCACAGCTTATTATCACGTCTGATGAAACACTTTATCAATCCCTCTTCTCGTGACAACAAAATATCGATCATCACCTCCGATCCTGCCCGGGACTTTGGTGCAGTATAATGGTGTCAATAGTATCAAATACAATTAATTATTTCATTATTATTATATATATATGTGTAATAGTATGATAACAAATTCACGTGCCCTACTGTAGGGGCCAAAATGGGTGATGAGTTTTCTCATTACCAAAACACAGCAGAAAATGACTAAGCGCTTATGTATATATTATCTGGCAGATTTATTTTCTAAGACAAACAATTATAATACATACTTTATGTATATTCCGCATTAAGAGATAGAAGGCACAAATAACGGGAATTAATTGAATTGAACTGAATGGAATGGAGTATATTTAATTATTTATTCAGTTGTTTTCTTCCAACGTTGTATTAATCTAGACCTCCTCTTCCAGGTTAATTTCATCTTAACTTTGCCCAGATTTCATAATTTCACAGGTGATTTTTTTTTCTTCCACCCTTAAATTCATCTTTTTTGTTTTTGTTTTGTTTGGTTTTTTTCTTTTCCTTCAATTTATCGTGTGTAATATATGTATATATCTTTTTCTTTTTGCATGGATGATATGTTTTCATGTCAGATCTTATATTATTATGCCATTGAATTAATCCATCTTAGTAAGAGTAATTAGATTCATTGATTTACAGTTAAATTTGTGAGCATACATACATTCACCTAACATACAGTGCAGGATTGCCTCAAAACTTCATTTCCAATACCGTCAAAGTTTTCATGTATTTAATGATCAGACAACTGATCGAATTAATTGGAGGAGCCAATTTTTAATTTCTTTCCGTTTTTAGATGGATAATTTTTGTTTATTCCACCATTAATTAATTTTTTTCCACCGTACTTTCCGTCCCTAAGTTATACAATAATCGTAGAATTCATACCTAATTGTTGATTATTCTCACTTTTCATCCCTAAGTTATCGTTGGCGTTGCATTTTTCGTCCCTTTACTAACAAAACATTAGCGATGAAATTTGCAACTTTAGTATAGCTTAGAGACGAAAAGTTAATAAAATGATGAAAAGTGTAACACCAATAATAACTTAAGAGCGAAAAGTGAGTACGGCTAACACTTAATGACGAATCCTAAAATTACATATAACTTAGGAACGAAAAGTGCAATTTTTTCTTATTATTATTGTTACTATTATTACTATTGGAAGTCATTTCCACATCAATTTATAATGTCATATATTAAAAAGGGTCAAATGCACCCCTGAACTTTATACAATAAGTCGATTAGGCCCCTTAATTTTTAAAAGTTGTAAACTTATAATTAAGTCTATCAATTTGATAATTTCATGCACTTAGACCCAACAACAGGTTAATTACTTGTAATAGCAAGTAAATTGCTGATGTGACATTTTTCAATTAAATAATAATAAATAATTAATATAAAATTTTAAAGAATAAAAAGATGATAGACACTAGAAAGTATTTAAAAGTGTGTCACGGACGTGCCAAAATGACCTTATTTTCCTCACGAAAAATATTTTCTGTTGACTGAATTTTACATGTTGATCCAAACACCGGAATTCGGAAAAATTTTCTGAGTTTCCAAACATACCTTTAGTCAACATCAATTGAATCGCTTATGATTCGTATTTATGTGTATGCAAATGCAATAATACTTTTGAGAGATGACTCCTTAAATGAGGTCAGACCAAGATTTGTCTGAATTAGTCTTACTACGGGTGTGGATATCAATGTTGTATGACAATAGCCACGCAAATCAAACGTGTAATAAGGCCACTACTTCGTTTGCTTGCTTGTTTCACGTCCAAGTGTCTAATTAAAAGAACATATATACGTATATACCAACTTTGTTCTTGAATTGATGTATCTTTAATTTTGCAGTTTTGTTCTTAAGATTCACGTAGTAGTAGTAGAATAAAACACGAAACAAAAGAGAATTATATATCGAAGGAAGATCAGAGAAAAATGGGGTTCTGGAGATTATTGGAGGTGGCATCTATGCCAATATTGCAGCTGCTGATAATAAGTGGATTAGGTGCTACGTTGGCCACTGATTATATCAAGATTCTCCCTGCTGATGCTCGACGCTACCTTAACAAGGTAACTTAATTCTAATCAATTCTTCATCACATACATTTAGTTTCAGATCAGAGGTTATATACATTTGAAGTGTTCAGCAGCTTAATTACATTTTTTTTTTGTTCTTCAGTGACCTAATTGTATTTTCAGGTTACGTTAAGTGGCCAATTTGAATCTTATTCCTATGTATATATATATAACACTGAAAGATCAGATCAGATGGTAATTGCTGCATTGTTTGATGTTATGTGATTGCCCGCAGGTAGTGTTTGTGGCATTTACACCATCCCTCACGTTTGCAAGCTTGGCAAGGACGGTCAAACTTGAAGACATCATTTCATGGTAGCATCATACATACATCCATACATGCATCTCTATCATATCATTCCCAGGAAATAAAAAGGGCGGCAACCCCAGTCATGTTGGTCCGACTGTAAACTTGATAACTCTATTGGTCTTCTTAATTGGTTTGAGTCTGTCAGCTATGGACAACCTAAACTAATTTACCTTTTAGTGGTCCTTTGCTCGGCAAGGGTCACAAAACAGGTTCACCCCAACCAAGTTGATCAGGCTGTTAACTTGGTAACGCCTATTGGAAACCTAGGGCTAGTTTACTTTGTCGACTAGGGTTCCGAAAGAAGGGCTGACTATTCAAATTCAAATTCTGGTGTTCAGGTGGTTTATGCCGGTTAACATTGGGTTAACGTTTCTGGTGGGAACAATTCTTGGATGGATTGTAATAAAACTACTGAAACCAAAACCACATTTGGAGGGTCTCATCCTTGCTTCCTGTGCAGCAGGTATCCATTATCATATCTACTAAAAACTTTAATTGTATTTCACATTAAACTTTGTAATTATAGCTGGTTTGATTTATGTCATTGTTTATATAACTAAAGGAAATCTGGGAAATCTTCCATTAATCATTGTTCCTGCAATCTGCGCTGAGGAAGCAAGCCCCTTTGGTGATAGAGCAATTTGTTCCAGGCTTGGTTTGTCATATGTATCCTTCTCAATGGCGGTCAGCCTCTCATCTCTCTTAGCTTTATTCACTGTTGGAAATTATGGAATCACCTGAAAGTGATCTTAAATCAAGTCGAAAGCCTTGTTCCGACCACTTTTAGTATTGGGAAAAACCTTTGTTGCTATTTTACTTTCGACTTGATTTAAGATCACTTTCAGGTGGTCGGGAATTCCATAATTTCCAACAGTGATTATATTTTTCAACTCAACCACAATATAATTTATGTATGTATATATGGTCATCATCATCTTGCATGAATGCAGCTTGGAGGTTTCTACATATGGACTATTGGTTACCATATGATACGAAGCTCTGCCAAGAAACTGGAAGCACAAGAAGCATTATCCAAGGCAATTAAGGAAGCAAACAACGATGTGGATGCAGATCTCAGGGCTCAACTCATTCACAACACCAATGACCCTGAAAACCCGAATAATGTAAGCACACGTACTCTCTGATCTTACTGCTGGAAATTATGAAATTTTCGACCACCTGAGAGTGATCTTAAATCAAGTCGAAAGCAAAAAGTGGTCGGAAATAGTAACGAAGGTTTTTTTGGATACCAAAAGTTGTCGGAACAAGGCTTTCAACTTGATTAAAGATCACTTTCAGGTGGTCGGAAGTTTCATAATTTCTAATAGTGTCTGTATGTAAAGGTTTAGTATGTATTTAGTCTGGGATGGCCATGTTTCGTTCTAAGAATTTTAGGTGCAGAATGGATCTGGGAAAGCGGGTAGGGATCAGCGAAATAACAATCAAGACGAAGGGGCATCGTTCTTGAGCCAAACGCTGGAGTTTCTCCATACAATCTTGGAGGAGCTATTGTCTCCTCCAATTGTGGGAGCTGTAAGTTAATTGTTTTAATTTCATGCTTCACTTTACTTAATTGGTTTATTTTAGGGTATGTAGTTTGTTGGAAATAATTGTTTTTGCATATGTATATGTACATGTTTTGCAGATTTTTGGACTTATATTTGGAGCAATAACATGGCTTAGGAATCTATTGATTGGTGACAAAGCTCCCCTCAGGGTCATCCAAGATTCCATCCAATTACTTGGGTACATAAAAATTTTGTCCACAATCTGTCACTCAAGAACCAGTTATCTCATTTATAACTTATTCCCAATGTAGGAACGGAACAATACCATGTATCACTCTTATCCTAGGTGGAAACCTGATCGAAGGTAAGGTGTTTTGAATTTGTTGAAGGGTGAAGGAAATGTTAATTTGAAGAGATATAAACTTATGAACAGGATTGCGCGGCAAAGCGTTGGTGCCAAAGCAGATAATCATAGGAATAATCTGCGTGAAATTTGTGTTTTGTCCCATAATTGGGATCGGCGTGGTTCAAGGCGCTGCCGAGTTAGGGCTCCTTCCAGACGATCCACTCTTCCTTTTTGTGCTCATGCTTCAGTTCACTGTTCCACCTGCCATGAATCTTGGTACAATAGCACAACTGTTTAATGTAGGAGAAGCTGAGTGTTCTATGATGTTCTTGTGGACTTATGTTGCAGCAGCTTTTGCACTCACAATATGGTCAACAGTGTTCATGTGGATCTTGACATAACCCCAAATTTATTTTCTAATTCATTGTATTTTCATGTATGTAGACAATAAATGAGATTAGGATTTTATAAAATAGGATGTCAAAAAGTAACAGATATCCTGTGTTTTATTTATTTATTTTTTTGGTCCTTTTCAAAATTTTGGCCCATATTCTTTTTGAAATAAATAAATAAATTATTATTGTAGAGGTGTGGCAAATTATGCCCTGAAAACGTGTTCACCATGAATGGTGAACATGGGTCAAACGGCGCCGTTTTTACGTTAAAAAAAAAAAATCGCTAATGTGGTATTAACTGTGCGCGTTTGGTCAGATTATGAATTTTTTGTTATGAGATTATGAATGTATTGTAAATTCATAATCTCATATTCTCATAACAGAAAATTCATAATCGCATAAAAGAAAAACATTTATTAAATTATGAATTTTCTGTTATGAGATTATGAATTTACTGTAAATTCATAATCTCATAACAGAAAATTCATAATCTATGAATGTTGAAGAAGCTTGCGCTACAGAGGAGCAGCCATGGTTACAGACGGGAATGTGTAGGCATGGGTCCAAAGTGAATATGCAGGCATGATTTCATAATTTATGAATGTCTGAAATCATTGCTCACTTCAAATTAAAGTGAAATCGCGAAATGTGAAAAATGAAGAAGAAAAGTCACGCGATTAATTAAGGAAAAAAAAAAAAAGAAGATAACGGTGTACTAACACCGTTGGGACCGTGTTCACCATAGATGATGAACACGATTCCATGGCATAACGATTGGTTAGAATGCAGTATAGAGTCAATATTGTCTTCAGCCACTAGACCACAAGATCATTGACAATAGTTGTTATCAGTTAGTTGATTGCATTAATTAATGATTTAAAGGGTTGATAGCATTAGCTACTTACAAAACCCCATTCATTTCTGGTGAACTCTTGGCCTACAATACAGAATTCGCAGTGGGTTGAGAAGAAGAGTTCCACAAAAGCACGTTCGTCTATTACAGCTGCAACACCGCCTTTAATTTACTGGGACCATCCGTTAAAGTTTTAATTGTCTTGATGTATGTATAGTGTGCTCACAAATCTTCTGTCACGTTAAAAGGAACAAGTCATGGGGTCGTTTGTTGGTAATTGCGAACAAACGAACCACATTGGTAACCAATGGGGTCGTTTGTTGCAAACAAAGTATCAATTTCTTTGTTCTTCATTCCACCCTTAAATTCATCTTTTTTGTTTTTGTTTTGTTTGAGTAAATATATGTATATAAATATTTTTCTTTTTGGATGGATGATTTACGAACGTAAGATTTTTTTCTTAATCACAAGTGATATACTGATATGTTTTCATGTCAGAACTTAGGGTGTGTTTGGTTGATGGGTTTTGCCCATAGGAATGTATATGAAAGTGATTGTTATTGTTTGGTTGATAGGTTTGTAGAACACTATTATGGGTTTCGAATACCCCCATCAAATGAAAAATTTATACCCAAATAAAATAAGGGTTTCATTCCCTTATTCATTTTCAAGCACTACTATTAGTAACCATTCTCATTCCACCCCATTACCAAACATGTTAAATACTTACACCAAAATGTCTTACCATTATCAAGTATTTGATACTCATTCCGATTCCGATTCTCATGTGCGAACCAAACACACCCTTATTATGCGTAAGAGTAATTAGATTCATTGATTTCCAGTTAAATTTGTGAGCACACTATACATACATTCACCTAACATACAGTGCAGGATTGCCTCAAAAGTTTATTTCCAATAATACCGTCAAAGTTTTCATGTATTTAAATGAATTCGAGGAGCCAATTTTTTATTTCTTTCTGTTTTTAGATGGATAATAATAATTCTTTGTTTTTTCCACCATTAATTAATTTTTTACACTTTTAGTTCCTAAATTATACAATATTTGTAGAATTCCTACAAAATTGTTGGTCATATTTCGTTCCTAAAATTAGAGACGATCCCTATTTTTATTCTTTCAAAAGGCTGAACCCCAACCCTAAGGGCAACGATCCCTATTTTTATTGTTACTATTATTAGTATTGGAAGTCATTTCCACATCAAGTTATAATGTCATACACTAAAAAAATAAAAATCAAAATAGACTTCATTTTATAATTTGACAAAATTAACACATTTAATTTTGTCAAATAATAAAATTTATACATTTCTTATTAATTATTTTTAATATTTAGTGTTGTTACGAATAAGTAATACCAGAAAACTAACCAAAGAAATTAAAGCATTATATTTAGTTGAGAAGGGAGCTTCACTCACAATTACTAGTACAGTAGTAGTAAAGGTTTTTTTTTTTTTTTTAAATCACGCGATTAGTTTTATAAATATTATAAAATTAAACATTTGCAATAAATATAAAAATTAATCCATATTAACTTTACTAATTAAACTAATCTTAATGGATGACTAAAACCAATCATTACTTTTTTGTATAGGCCCCACTATTTAATTTATATATATACATATTTTCTTGAAATTTTCCAAATTTGAATAACTCATAATGAGGATTACCAATTTAAGAATAGGCAATAATGAATTAATTTTTTTTTCTAATTAAGTATTATATACTCATTCGTTCCATTTTATGGATCGAGTTCAATTAACGAGACTTCACTGAAATTATTTATAATTTAAATTTTCATAATATTAAGTTTAAAATTAGTGTGTAAAATTTATATATTTAGAAACTACATTAAAAGTATTACTAAACATAAAAAAAAATCAAATTTAAAAATTTTAATAAAATACTAATAGAAACAAGCAAAGAAGAAAGAGTTGATTTGACCAATGAATAATAGGTAGGAGATATAAAATGGTACAAGGAAGTAATAAATAATACTCCGTATCACTTTAGAGTTAGAGTTAAATCATATTTTTCTTCTTACTTTCGATTAAAATCAGATAAAAATGGGGTTCTGGACATTATTGGAGGTGGCATCTACACCAATATTGCAGCTGCTGATAATAAGTGGATTAGGTGCTACAATGGCCACTGATTATTTCAAGATTCTCCCTGCTGATGCTCGACGCTACCTTAACAAGGTAACTTAATTCTAATCAGTTCTTCATCACATACACTTTGATTCAGATCAGAGGTTATATATATATATATATATATATATATCACTGAAAGATCAGATCAGATGGTAATTGCTGCATTGTTTGCTGTTATGTGATTGCAGGTAGTGTTTGTGGCATTTACACCCTCCCTCACGTTTGCAAGCCTGGCAAGGACGGTCACACTTCAAGACATCATTTCATGGTATGTAGGATCATACATACATCTATCATATCATTCCCAGAAAATAAAAAGGGCGGAGTCAACCTCTCCAAGTTGGTCAGGTTGTTAACTTGGTAACCACAATGGCTTATTGGTTTTCTTGGTTTGGGCCGTTCAGGTATGAACAACCTAGGTTAGTTTACCTTGTAGTAGTCGTCCTTTGCCTGGCTAGGGTCACAAGGCAAGTTCACTCGTTCACCCCAGCGGCCCATCCAAGTTGGTCAGCTTTTAACTTGATAACTACAAGTGGTCTATTGGCCTTTTTGGTTTGAACTGATGACAACTTAAATTAATATAATTTACTTAGTAGTAGTTCTTTGCCGGCTAGGGTTACAAGGAGGGTTTATCCCATCCAAAAGAAGGGCTGACCATATATATATGAGTGTGTGTGTAATTCAAATTCAAATTCTGTTGTTCAGGTGGTTTATGCCGGTTAACATTGGGTTAATGTTTCTGGTGGGAACAATTCTTGGATGGATTGCAGTAAAACTACTGAAACCAAAACCATATTTGGAGGGTATCATCGTTGCTGCCTGTGCAGCAGGTATCCATTATCACATCCACTAAAAACTTTATATTTCATATTAAACTTTGTAATTACTGGTTTCATTTATGTCATTGTTTATATAACTAAGGAAATTTGGGAAATCTTCCATTAATCATTGTTCCTGCAATCTGCGGTGAGGATGCAAGCCCCTTTGGTGATAGAGCAACTTGTTCCTCTCGTGGTTTGTCATATGTATCCTTCTCAATGGCGGTCAGCCTCTCATCTCTCTTAGCTTTATTTCTGTTTTACATTATTATAATTTATGTATGTATATATGGTCATCATCATCTTGCATGAATGCAGCTTGGAGGTTTCTACATATGGACTTTTGGGTACCAAATGGTACGAAACTCTGCCAAGAAACTGCAAGCACAAGAAGCATTATCCGAGGCAATTAAGGAAGCAAACAACGACTTGGATGCAGATCTGAGGGCTCAACTCTTTCACAATAGCAATGACGACCCTGAAAACCCGAATAATAATGTAAGCACACTCTCTGATCTGTATGTAAAGGTTTAGTATTTAGTCTGGCGGCCATGTTTCGTTCTAAGAATTTTAGGTGCAGAATGGATCTGGGAAAGCAGGTAGGGATCAACAAAATAGCAATCAAGACGACGTGTCGTTCTTGAGCCAAATGCTGGGGGTTTTCAACACAATCTTGAAGGAGCTAATGTCTCCTCCAGTTGTGGGAGCTGTAAGTTGTTTTCATACTTGGCTTATTTTAAGGTAGTTAGTACGAAATAATTGTTTTTGCATATACATATGTACATGTTTTGCAGATTCTAGGACTTGTGTTTGGAGCAGTAACATGGCTTAGGAGACTATTGAATGGTGACAAAGCTCCCCTCAGAGTCATCCAAGACTCCATCCAATTACTTGGGTATGTACCACTATAATAATAGTCAGAATGTTAAATTCTTGCCCACGATCTGCCACCCAAAAACCAACTGAAAAACTACCCAGAATGTTGAATCCCTCACAATAATAACTTGTAGGAACGGAACAATACCATGTACCACACTAATCCTAGGAGGAAACCTCATCGAAGGTAAGATGATGTCCTTCCCGTAACTGTGTTTTTTGTTTCTTTGTTGAAGGAAATGTTAATTTGAATATATGAACTTAACAGGATTGCGCGGCAAAGCGTCGTTGTCAAAGCAGATTATCGTAGCAATGATCTGCGTGAAATATGTGTTTTGTCCCATAATTGGGATTGGCGTGGTTAAAGGCGCTGCCCATTTAGGGCTCCTTCCACCCGATCCACTCTTCCATTTTGTGCTCATGATTCAGTTCACTGTTCCACCTGCCATGAATATTGGTACGTCCAACACTTCAACTCCTATTCACAACTAATTTTCGCTCCAGCCCACACTCGCTTAACTCACTGGTTCAATAGACAGTATTTGAAAAAAGAGATCAAGATTCAAACTTCGCCAGCTACAGTGCAAGAATTATGCCCAAAACGGGCAGATCCCTTGTATTTGGGCCTGTATGCTGAGCCCATTAAGTCATCATGATTTACATCCTCCCGAATGCTCTGTCGAGCTAGGATGTGGAGACCCTTGGGGTTAAAGATTCAATTTTTTGGGAGAAAAAACTAATTTTCGCTCCGTTTGATCGAATGTGGGTGCAGGTACAATAGCACAACTGTTTGATATAGGAGAAGCTGAGTGCTCTGTGATGTTATTGTGGACTTATGTTGCAGCAGCTTTTGCACTCACAATATGGTCAACAGTGTTCATGTGGATCTTGTCATAAGCCCAAATTTCATTTGTAATTCATTATATTTTGATATTAGGATTATAGAATAGGATGTCAAAAAGTAACAGATACCCTGTATTTTTTTGGTCTTTTTTCAAAAATATTATGTCAAAGATACACTAAATATTATTGTGTCATTATAGAATAGGATGTCAAAGACAGACTACTGCTATATATATATATATATATATATGTGTGTGTGTGTGTGTGGGTGTACATACAACTTTATGCTGTCATGATTCATAGTAATCATTCAGTACGCACCTTCATCAGTACTTCTTGAAGAACCCCCTTCAAGTTGCCTTCTTTTGGACCGACATTTTACCGAGCTTTCCTTTTCATCGACGAACGAAAGGAATGTCTGGAGGCGTGCTGACCGCGATGAGCTTACGCTGGAAGACGGCTCGGGCTCATCGTAGTATTGCATGAACTGGCGTATTACGAGAACAAGGTACACCAGCAGGGCTAAAAGGCATGCAAATCCGCACATAAAGAAGAGACCCGAGAAGCTCTTCAGTTCAAGCCGGTTCACTTCAAGCTTTGTGTTTTGCGATGTACAAGCGCTCCTCAACAGCCATTTGTCGTGGATCCTTTGAAGCTCCCCATTCTCCGACAGTTTCAGAATCACGGTTGACAGGTCGACCGCCAGAGGAGAGTCCTTCGGGAAGGCCTTACGTTAAGAAACAAAGGCTTTCAGTTCAAGACAATTAAAGCATGTACTCCATCTCAACTAAAAGCTGAGTGGCGCTGAGATTCGAACCCATGACCTTTGGTCTGGCTGTGCTCCATCTCAACTAAAAGCTTAAGCTGATAATTGGATTGCACATTAATGGCTATATGGTCAACAAAGACCATTAGACCAAGATATGTGAGGAAATAAACAGCGAAAGATATATATAGAGGCTACTTACAAAACCCCATCCATTTCTCGTGAACTCTTGGCCTACGATACAGAATTCGCAGTGGGTTGAGAGGAAGAGTTCCACAAAAGCACGCTCGTCTACCACAGCTGCAACACCGCCTTTACTGGGACCATCCTTTAAAGCTTTAGCATAATCTTCGGTCACGTTAAAAGGAACAAGCCTGGATTCATGAAACCCGAGTTCCTCAATCAGATAATTGCGAACAAACGAACCACGTTGGTAACCAATCGGGTCATTTGTTGTTAACAACGTATCAATTCCTTTGATTGGGGAAAAAAGATGTTGAACCGTGAGGATTGAGGTAAGGCTCGCAGTGTAACTAGAGTTTATTATTAAAACCACAAATAGCCATATCATAAGGACAAGACGGCCTAAGCAGCTGATAGTGTTTTCTCCTGCATGGTTACAAAATAGTCTCAATATAAAGCTTTAAAAAAAAAAAAGTCGCATAAGAATCTAACACAAACAAGAAAATCCACTCACTGTTGGCAGAGAAGAACGTTGAAATGCCAAACCTGAAATAGAAAATTCACAACACGTTACTCTAAAGTTTCGATGGTCCATCTCAGTACAGAATGTATTTCTTGGACACTCACCAAAAAATAGTTTCGATTTGCTTTCTAGGAGGTCCACGAAAATCATCATTCATTCTGTGCTCCAAAATCCAAACCGCTACCCCAATCACAAGAAAAAACAAGCCAGTGAGACACCATAGCATAGGAGAAAATGGCCTAAGAAAAGCCCAAGCATTAGAGCCCCGCTCTCTAAACGGTGCGACCACAACTAGGCCCGACTCAATATAAGGTTGAGTGAAATCAACCATTAATGTCCGATTAGTTGTGATTGCAATGCTACCCACAGCTGCACCATAAACCTGAATTGACAGTACTCATAGTTAAGTGTACAACAAAGCCCAACGAACAATAATATTGCTACAAAAGAATCTTTTTTCCCTAAACTCACCCCTTCAGTGATTCTGTGCACAAGTTCTGTATCGTCTGCATCTTCAACGGGGACAAATTTGTACGGTACAGCATATGGCAAATAGTTTAGCGCAGTTGTGAAGACCTCAATACAGTACCCTTTGAACATATCAGTACCTGGTACTTGTTCCACAAATTCATTAAATCCAGCTCGGATAGGGACTCCAACTTTCAGTGGCTTCCCATAGTTCGGAAAGACCCACCCTCGAGGCTTCTGAACTGTGTCTCCCGTCCAGACTACAGGATTTAGCTCTTGAATGGAAAGTTTACGACTTTGTGGATAAGGGTAGAGAGAGTCAGAAGGCACTTTCGATAACCCAGCGTAATTAGACCAGTAACCAACTTTCTTGGTTCCAGTTCCAATCACATTAATAACTTCAAACGCAGGGTGAGAGAGTTCCCTGTCCGGGGTAAAGTTGAATAGCCCCGTCACCCCAGTTATATTGGTCTTCAAAATGTTGTCGAGCAATAACTTCCCTCCATCAAAGACGTTCATAGAATGAAGATCTAACCCCGCTCTATGTGTATCTAGCATATGATCTATAGAAAATGAAATGTTTCCACCCTGTTTAAAGAACGCATCAAGAGCACGAGCAAGTAGCCAGACAGTGTCGTATGCATATAAACCATAAGTGCACATCCCTAAAGTGATATTACTATCAATTCTTTTGGCCAAATCGCTCCACCTAGAAACAAACTTCCTCTTTGCTTCTGAATCTGGAACATATGCGCGTAATGTAAGAGTTCCTTGAATACTGTCCATTACATCTGACGAAAGGGGACCTTTTGTGTCAAAGATAGTGGAGAGCCAATGCGTAGCAATCCACACATATCCACTTTCTGTCATTCCTAAATTCTTCGCCAGAGAAAATATATCCAGTCCCCTATAAGGATAAGTGTGAACAATAATAATTCTTGATTCCGTTAAAGCCACCTGAACTAACATATCCCTTATTTCATCCAATGTTGCTTGAGGTTTCAGAGCCGCTTTAAAAGATATCCGACATCGCCTCATAGCCAGTTTATCCGCTAATGCAGCGATTCCACTCCTTCCATATTCATCATCTACATATATAGCAATCACCGCTTTCCATTGATAGAATTCAACAATCGATGCTATAGCAGCCATCTGAAACATATCATTTGGCGACGTTCTGACAAAGAATGGGTACTGAAGTGAAGTGAGAGCAGGATCGGTGGCAGAGAAAGACAATAGAGGGACATGGATCTCATTCGCAATGTGGGAAATCACATGAGCTATGACCGAAGATTGGGGGCCAATTATGGCCACGGTGTCAGTCTCCAAGAAGCGTATAGCTGTTCATGAAAATGCTTCTCATCAAATTCTAAAAGCTAGTCAACTTAATTCACAAATATATATATTTGCAGCGAATTTAATTACCTTCAACTATCCCCATCAATCCACTAGAATTGTTATCGAGGATCGTGACATTCAACTTTGTTCCTCCAAGAACAGCCGGATTAGAATTGATATCTTTTACTGCAGTTTCTATTACCAATTTCGTAATTTTACCAACGTCAGACCTCAACGTGAGAATACACCCAATGTTCAAAACACTAGGCCTTGCAGAAAGAGTTGAGTTAACTCCTTCACACAAATACCCACAGTACAAAACTGGCAATATCAATGCCCAAAACAGTTTCATGATGAATTGAGTTATCAAAACCCCAGATTCCACCCTGTTATGCACAGAAAGTAATTATAATTCAAAGTTCAAACTTCAAGAACAAGCATTAGTACGATACAGAGTAATAATGAAATTAAACATCAATGGAATATCAAAAACATACAATTAGCTAGAATACAAGTGCAGGCGTTATTCAAATAATCAAAGCTCAGAAATTTCAGCTCAAACAAACAGGAAAAAAAAAAATTGTAAATTTACAGGATAAACAAATGAGCATACCTATCTACACAGCACTGGGAGAGTTTTAAAGACTTCTCATAATTCAACAATGAGTGAAAGAAAAGAAAGGCATATTCTCTGTATTCAATAGAGCAGACAAAAGTACTTAATAGTTGTAGAATACCAGAAATGAAAGGTTTAAAGCTCAAAACTATTTGAGAAGGGGATAAATCCAGGCATGTAGGGACTAGAAATAGCCCTACACAAAATGAAACCTCCTTTTCTTTGCAAAACAAAACAACCACATCTATTAAAGCCACTCCTTGCAAAATGAAATTTCCTATATCCTACCAACCTCCATTAACAAATAGGGAGTTTTAAACTTTTAAACTTTAAAGTGACATACAAGGGTTTCCAGAAATGTGCAGAAAAACCAATTCTTTTTCCACGTCGCAAGAAAACAAGGATGGAAAAGAAAAGCAAACAGATGAGCTTTCAAGGTAGGACGGTGAAGCGTAGAGTAGAGTTGGGTACTTTTACGGGATTGTCTTCTTTACTCCCCTTTTCTTTCTTGAAACTCCATGAGATTCCTGGTTCGACTAAACTTAATATGGGTTCCCTCCTGTTTGTATAGAAAGATGAAATTGACAGTTCTGTGAATGTTTGATACAGACAGGATTATTGTTCATATTTGCTTTGTCAGTGGAATATGATACTGCAAAATAATGACGGATTGACAACAAAAGCAATCCAAGCCACTCTCGCTATGTGGTTTTAACTTTTCTTAAGAAATTAACTATTTTTTTTTTTTTTTGAAGACAGAAATTAACTATCGTTAATGGAGTATCTCCCAAATAGGAAAACATGAGTTCGATCTTCAGTAGAAACAATATTAACTTTTTATGTTTTAATAGATTGAAAAAGTAATAATGAACATATATTATATTGTAATAGAGTTAATAATATTAAAAAAATTATCGTTAAAGAAAATGTTGGAGAATTTTTGTTATTTTATTTTTAAAGAAAGAGAATAAAGCATTGCATGGAATTCGTGGCAGAATAATATAAAGCGGCAACTACTCTTATTCTTACCGGATAATATAAAAATTGCATTTTGGTTATTTAGTTATATTTATGGTACGTATTTAGTTTTTGGATTATATGTGTGATTATATTTAACTCTTAAATTATGTGTAAAATAATGATTTTAGTCTATAGAGATTATTTCTATTATCGATATGTCTCTTAATGAAGTGGTTAATTTGATTATTCAATAATTAAAGTCGGCATTTTGTTCATAACTTAAAAGTTAAAGATGATCTTGTATATAACTCATAAACTAAATTTGTATCACAAATATAATTGGACAAACAACTATGATTTAACCTATATAATTAAGTGATTTGTTGACAAAGAGAGTATTCAAATCACACAACAAATTGAAGTGAGAATTACCTCGCAATGTCCTTAGCTTGTTTGACAATCAGCAGTTAGTGGTTAGTGTTAGCGAATTTGATCAGTGAATTATATCAACGGTTGGTAAAAAGATATTTGAAAAGTTAATTGTTTAGATTAACATGAAAGATGACCTAAGGATATAATAATAATAATAATAATAATAATAATAATAATAGTAATAGTAATAGTAATAGTAATAGTAATAGTAATAGTAATAGTAATAATAATAAGAATTGTTTTTTAAAAAATTAAATAAAAAATAAAAAAATATAATTAATCTAATCATATTAACTATTTGGTGGATTTATTGACAAAAAGAGTATTCAAATCACACAACAAATTGAAGTGGGAAACTACCTCGCAATGTCCTTGTTTGGCAATCAGCAATTAGCTCTTTAATATTAGTATAAATCTAATATTTTATGCCCTAATTTTTATTTGCTCTCTCTTATGTCCCGTATTTGGTTTCAATCATACTTATACAATTATTTTATTGACAATTATAATCAATCTTGATTATATTATCTTGCATTTGTAAATTTAGAATTACCTATTTAAATACGCAAATTTAACATTCAATTATCTATGCATGAACAATTCTCATATAATCTTGTCTTGATATACTTTAAAGTACTTATTTAAAAAAAAAAAAAAAACATTGGACATCATCCTAATCGTGCAATGTGTATAAAAAAACTAGTAATAAAATATGATTGGGATCCATGTTGCAAGGCATAGGCAGTAGAAGTTGATGTTGGTGAATGCAAAGAAGCTAATTAAGTGTCTTTAATGGTGTTTGTTTGTGCCTAGAAATTTATATATATAGTACCCTGATCTCTTTGGGTCTTTTGGGTAAGTTTAAGGCACAAACACTTCACATATACGTATGGACCACGACAAAGTACATAGACCAAGACCAAGACCAAGACCATGGTCCTACAAGGGGATGGACTAGTCGCTCTCTAATAAAGGACAGTGGACACCATAGAACAGTGTCTTGTTTAATTTCTTCATAAAAAGGGTAAAATTAAAAATATCATTTATAAGGATAAAATTTCAAACGAATTGAATGGACCAATGATTTGCTAATTACAAAATTTTGAATTTCTCTCTATAGACATGTCTATTAGCTTTCTTGGTTTAAGAAGATGAAAGATTTAAAATAGTAACAAATTAAATTTGTATAAGTGTTTGGAAAATAACATTTCCTTATTGATATAAATATCAGCATACCACACCCTTACATGAAGATTATGGAGACATAAGTCAACCTCTACAAATCACACTCAAAAACTAGGATTAAAGTCATATCCAAAGTAGTTGACACATAATTAATTTACTAATTAGTGGTATTTGGTTCAAAAATTGGAATTAAATTCGTTTATATTAGAAGTATTTTTTACTAGAAGTTCATAGTAATATCGTTAGTATTACCTTTTTTTTTTTTTTTTTTTTTTTTTTTAACTTCAAGTTAGGGGTGTAAACAAGTCGAGCCGAGCTCGTTAATGGAAGCTCGGCTCGAGCTCGAGCTCAAGCTCAATCGAACTCAAGAACTGATGCTCAAGCTCGAGCTTAGCAATTTTCGAGCTGCTCGAGCTCGAACTCAATCTTGAACTCGAGTTCGAGCTTGATTTTGAACTTTTTAATTGTTATTTTTATATATTATAATTATATTATATATTATACGGCTCGACGAGCTACGAGCCTAGAATATCTAGGCTCAGCTCGAGCTCGATTATTAAACGAGCTGTTCGAGCTTGATTTTGACCAAGCCGCTCGCGAGCGGCTCGGCTCATTTACACCCCTACTTCAAGTTCTTAAAAAAAAAAACAAATACTTTGCATTGTTTCATATAAATAGTTTTGTTTGTAGGTACTATTTATTACTGTTAGTTCAAAAAATATTTTTATTGGTTATATCATTTAATGGAAATTGATTGATATTGTTTTTATGTATAATATACTCTTTTTTGGCAATATATTTTTATTTATTTATTTTTGCAATACATCAATTTATTTATGATTTATAAAAATATATTATATATTATAAAAATATTTGTAAGAAAAGTATAAATAATATATTAATAGAAGTTATGAAATTTTTGTAAGAGTGCATTTAATTTAAAATTTTAATATGAAAAAGTTTTTAAGAAGTATTGCTTCGGTGTACAAACCCACAACCTCCAACTTGCCAACTTGTCAAAGTAGGGATGGGCGTCGGTTCGGTTTGAGTGATATCCGAATTTTATTTAGATATCTAAAAATTTTGGGTGATGTTTTTGACACTCAATATTTGAACTAAATTTAATTCAGATATGTTTGGTTCAAGTGAAATTATTTTGAGTTTATTTCGGGTTAGTTTGGCTAGCTATACCCAAAATTTTATTTTTATCAATTTTGAGTTCTTTTTAATGATTTTATTATTTTTGCATTTATATTTTTTGTATACTATCAAACTAAAAATAAAACAAAATACTAATAATTAATTAAGAGACTTTTGAAATTTAATATATTATTAATTATGGAATACATTTAAAACTAAATATATAATTTATATTTATAATAAAATTTCGATTAGTTCATATTTCGACAAGTATAGATAAAATTTTAATATCCGATATTCGAAAAGAATTTATATTTAGATATAGTAAATTTAACTATTAAGGTTCACTCGAAATTTAAAATTTAAAATTTAATTCGGGTTTTGGATGTTAGTTCGGATAATTCAAATTACGCCACCCTTACCGACAAGCTACTCTATATCTTATATATCAAATGGTAGGATGCTCTACTTTATTCAGGTGAAAGGTGCTGACAACAAGGTAGTGGAGGAACACATGTATGGTGTAAATGAAAGGAAAATTAATATCATAATTAAACTTGTCAAGTATTTGGAGGATTCTTTGCATTATATAAAGGGCTTCATGTCTCAGCTCATTTTAGGCATCATCCTTGATTCACTATATATAATCTTTCTAGTCCCATGGCTATATTACTTGGACTATAATATTTATTGTTTCAGCTGCTAGTTTGGATTGTTAAATCACTATTTTCATATCTACATTTTGCACTTTCATACCTCATTTAATTTATAGTGGACTTTGTGTCAACAAAACTATCAACTTTAAAAGTTTTTATAAATACACTCAATATTTTTTAAAGTACTATTCTGTTACAAGTCTTGTAATACACACCTTAAGTTTGATTCTTATCATTTTTAAATGAAAAAACGAAGTGTTAAATTGATGAAAGCTATCAGAAACGTTTACTTAAATTAATAATATAATACTCCTTTCTAATAAAGTATGGAATCACGTGAAACACGGCTAACTTATCAAAGTGTCTTTATTACTATTTTATTCATAAATCTGATGGAATATAGTTAGGATAATAAATAAAACAACACACACAACAATTTGGGGGAGAAGAAAGCATTGCAATTCATAGCAGAATGATATAAAATGTGGCAACTAACTGCTCCCTTATGCATACAGGAAAAGTAGAATAATAAAAATTTATTGTTAAATTTAAAAATTAAATTATTTTGATTTATCTATTGTGACTCTATGAGAGGTTCATGGAATACATGATATAGTCAATAATGATGGAAGGTGTGGATTGGATCTTTTATACGTGCATGAAAATTAGGATATTTATTTATACAATGGCTCTAGAAGAAAGGTTATGTGAA